TTAGATTATCCCTGCAGACAAAAGATCTGCAACTTCACTTTTTACGAGGAACTAAGCTGAGCACAAACAGAAAATTCGGGAGAAACTTCAGACCACCTCAATTGCAGGCTGGCTGGAGGGAGATATAAGGTGGATGGTACTTTTTTACTCTGTGTGATGGTTTATCTGTATGTGTTAGTAAAATATTTCACTATCTACTGGGCTGATTTGAATAAAAACTATTGCTTTCAAACTGGTTTCAGTGATTCTTGAAGCATAAACATGACCTATGTCACATGGACAGCACTCTGTAGCCGTCTGCTGACCAGAAACCACCAAATACTGTATTGACCCGAATATAAGACAAGGCTTTTTTCACTGAAAATATTTTTTAAATGTAAGGTTGCTTTGTATTCGGGGTCTAAGCATTTACACATGCTGATATTTGTCTGGGGTCATTACACGCCCCTAACAGCAGAGGGCGCCAGGCCGTATGTTCTCAACAGAAAAAAAAATGGAGATGGGAGGTCTGGAGCAAGCCTGGCCTGCCTGACTCGTCCTCTGTTTATTCTGCACAGTCTGGTAACTCACAGGCAGAGAGGCACTTGAGGGGCGGGACTAGGCAGCTCAAAAATGACCAATCAGAAACGGAAATCCCGACTGTACCGCACGACGCGGTAGATTTCTAGTTGTAGTAAAAAAAATTGCGTCTGGCAACTGCGCAAACATCTTTTTTTTTTTTAGAAGAAATGCTTTTAGCGCTTCTACTTGTGGTTTTAAAGACATTTGAGTCATTTAGAACAGAGGAAAGAGTCTCAGCAAACTCCGCCGCTGTCTTCGTTGTTTATGAGAAACTGAGCGCCGCCGTGTGTGACGTCCGCGACGCTGTAGTTTTTTTTAGCTACAGTAAAAATGGAGTCTGGCGACAGCGCAAACATCTTTGTTTAGAAGAAATGCTTTTAGCGTTTCTACTTGTTGTGGTTTTAAAGACATTTTCAAATCATTTAGAACAAAGGAAAGAGCCGCAGCGAACTCCACTTCAGTCACCATGTTTGTGACAAACTCAGCGTTGTGGTGTGTGACGTACGATACTCAGCGCTGATTGGCTCGGTTAGAATTCTCACGGGGCGGGGTTATTTGAATAGGAGAGTTCCCAGACTCTTTCTCTGTGCAGAATTAAACAGAGGAGGGGTCTGGCAGCAGGGGTGTGTCCAGGGAGTGGCCTGGGGTAGCACATGCCACCCTTGGAATCTGATTGGCCACCCCATGTGCCACCACACAAATTTACCTTTAAATAGGCTTTTCATTGTCTACAAAAGGCTTGAGGGTAAAACAAAAAGCATAACGATTGGTGCCACCCATGCACAAAGTTCTGCCTCACCTGGGCCACCCCATTTTAATAGACCTAGACACGCCACTGTCTGGCAGGCCAGGCTAGTCTGGAGCAGTCTGTGGGGCAAGTTAACATAGTATGGCAGTGTTATGGGAATTTTAAGATGACAGTGGTCAGTTCGGCAGAGGCGTCAAACATTTGCACGCATGGATGTATTGGATGGCAGTGGGGATGACATTCTGGGAGGAGCCGGCAGGTGTAGCGATCTGATGGTACATCCCACAGCAGCATGGGTGTGAGTGAGTATAGCGAGGCAGAGGGCATCTGAATAAAAGCCTCATTTGACTTTTGATTTCACATGTCAGCAAAGTTCTGATAGTTTGCAATAAAATAGCATTTTTGCTCAGTATTTGTTCTCAAATTTTCGAAAGAATAGTTTATTTAAAAAGTGATAGTTTTTTTTTTTGTCTTTTCCTGAAGATTAGTCTTGGAAGGGGGGTCGTCTTATAAACGGGGTCGTCCTGTATTCGGGTCAATTCGGTAGTTTTATGGTTCAGGTAGATGAAACAAGGTGGTCTCTACCTGCTTTATGGCAATAGCTGCCAGTAGCTGAGAAAATGTATTTAGTGTTCCATTAATGTAGAATGTTTCCCAAGTTCTGCTCATTCAGAATGAGCCTCTGGATGCCTTTTATGGGCGATTTAATGCAAATATGAAAAGTTAGAATCCTAATAAAGCTAAACTTGAGCAGACAAACACCTGTGAAACTACAGCAAGCCTGACCTGGTTTTCTACAATTAAAGCCTCTTGTCCTTTACAACTTCCTGCAGGCAAAGATGAGCTCTGCTTCTTGAGGAAAACCGATCTCAAAAAGACCTCCACAGCTCACAGCCTGGCAGGCGAGGAGGAGCTGTGCAAAAGCAAACTGAGTTAAAAACGGACGACACGTGAACATTTGGAGTTCCGTTTCTGTCCGCTATACAACCGGCCGTTTTTGTTCCACCGTTGACTCACTTTAACCACAAGGTAGCTGAACCACAGACCTGATAGGAACCGCAGTAATCCGTCTACTGGCTGTTATTATCTCTACCTGTACACCTTCAGACCACACATTAAAATAGAGAATTCACTTATTCTAATGGAATGGTTTACCTTTCAAAAACATCTAAGGAAACAGAGTTCTTGTTAAATATGAAGTTGACTCATTTGTGTCTAAAATAGTAAAAAACAGTATTTTATTTTGAAGGAATACTGAAATATGTCCCTGCTACCCTCTTCTTGCAGAGTTACAATCAGTTCCTTTAACGCGGTCGATCTAAATCCATGAGTCCTCACAAGCTTTCATAGTGACCCGTGCCTTTTTGTCCATGTTGGACGCTGGTGTGCCTTAGGACATGCTCATAGCTGCATGACTCATGCAACCCACACTGTGTCACTTCAACAGACCTCAGTGGAAAGCAGGACGTCCACAAGGCAAACAGTGATGAACACGCTATTCTAGGAATGAGGATGAAAATGGAGCTGGAAAATGTGCTTCTGCTCCCCTCAACCCAATGCTTTCCCACAACTTGTTTAGCTTTTTTTTTGTACGGGGGTGATTCTGAAGAAGTGATGACAGCAGAGGAGAATGAATGACTGAAACAGCAGCTCGACATGAATCAGGGAGAGAGGGATAAAGAGACAAATGGTTTGCAGAAGCGGGATCTGAGACTGAGTGAAACACAGCGGCTCTTAGAAGCTCCAGGCGTCCCACGAGGAGACGTGCAGAAAACGAGCTGTCGGACATCGTTTCTGCTTCAGCTGGCTGTGAAACATCACTCTAAACCAACCTTAAACCACTGCCTTTGATTTATTTGCTGCGAGTCTCAGATTTGTACCCGAGCACAAGTAGAATGAAGAATCACAGACAAGTGGATCTGATCTGGGATCAGATCATCAGCCGGGGTTATTTTTAGGCTTTGCTTGGATTCATTGTCTCCAATTGAAGAATGTTTGCCAGATAAAGACTGAAACCCTCTCGTGCGTTGTTAATCTTGCTCCAGATTTTTCAAACCATTTCAGACAGATTGTTTGGCTTCTCCTCTTTTTCTTCCTTTCATTTATCTTAATTCTAATTTGTAGTCTCGCTTCGGCCACACGTGATATACAGATTTTTGGACAATAAGGAGGACCACCCAGGAGCGTTTCAGCCTCCTTTCTCCACTAAAATCACTCGGATCGAGCAAAGAGACACGTTAAAAACAAATCGGATGGCAATGACACACAGTAGTCATGCAGGACTTTATTTGCAAAGCAGATGGAGAGCCTTGGCCTGTCCAACATTAATTACAATCACATTCAGGGAGGAAGCGTCCCTCCTCCAGGGCGGTTAGGACTCTGTGTACGGACTGGAGGAGATGGCAACCTAATCCCCCAGGTCACCGCAGAAATCTGAGGGAACTGTCAAAAGATGCACAGGATGTGATTAATCAAAGCAAAGAGCCAGATGTGCAACTACACGGGAGTATAAACCAGAACCTGTGCAGCAGCAGCAGAACAAAACCACAGACACACAAACACCACGCTGCCACCATCACACTACCTCACAGGAACCAACAGACGGGTTTCGATATTTGACTCTGGAGATGATGCTTCCTTCTCTCTGGATGTCTGGTTTCCATCACCACATGTTGCAACACCCAGAGGACCAATATGAGAAGAGGAGACTTTCAGGACTCGACTCTAATTCTCCTCATCAATATTTAGTGACTCTTAACTGGTTCGTGAGAAACATCTTGTCCCAGGATGAACTAAATTTAGCCAGAAAACTCAGTCTGAAACCAAATCATGACAATTCCACGTGTTTCCGAAGAGGAGGACAACGTATCTGGCTTCAGAGCTCCGGTCCCGGCTTGTGACTCCATGACCTACGTTTATCTTCAGGCGCTCTGTTTAGAGTCTTCCAGTAAACACCAGAGCTGCTAATGGAAGGAAGGCCTTTGTGCTTTTATGTTCCACACTCATTATGATTAAAGTGCCCTTGTTTATTATCACTGGAGCTAATTAAAAACTAATCTGCTTGGGAAACACTAACAAAGCGACGCAATTTACGCACAGAACCCACAAGTCTAAGGCTCGGAGGTCAAGAGCAGAAATAACCCTTTATATACAAATACCAGTGGTGGCGGTTCATGGTTTGCTGGGGAAACTGGGTTCATTATCCCGCTTTAAACACACATCTCGGAGTAGATTGCACAGCGAGACTGACCACAGAATTTCGGTCCTATAAGTGAACCGAGGAGGGCAACATTTACCCGGAAAGCAGACGCGTAACAATAAATTACCCAGAAACAATACAGGCCTCATTTGTGGAACCGCATAGGAAATGAGAGAGTGAGTCGCTGCCTTTGTGGTTCACACAGAGCGACAATTCATTAAAAAATACCAAATGTGCGTAAAGGCGCGTCCGCTTTACGCACTGCGTGGATGGAGGGAGGAATGAGGAGCGAATACAGGTGGATCAAACTAAAATGTCTAAAAAGGAACAGAAATTTTGAGTTATGCACGATAACTAAAAATTTTAAGCTTTTTGCAAACTTAAATCTAATTCAACAATCTGAATCGCAGCTTTAACGTGTTCTGCTGTGTTCTCCGGGATTACGCACTGCAATAACCTCGGATTAAAGACATTGTAGGACAAATAACTCACCCAGATTGACGAAGCTCATCACCATGTCTGCATCGTTCAGGAAGACAGTTTCTTGGTACGTGGCCAGAGGAGAGCTCTGGGTCGTCCGAACGGACTCCGAGCTGTCCCGCGCGCCCTCCACTCGGCTCCTCTCCTCGCTGGATATGGTGTTGTACAAGTCCAGCATGAAAAGAGGAGCGGAGTTGAACTTCCCGTGAGACAGATGCGGACGCGGTCTGTGCGGCAGCCCCAGGATGGACAGGATCTCCTTCTGCATCTCCCGTTTCTCGTGCGTTCGCAGCCGCCGGTGGACGAAGCCGGGATGCGCTTCGTTGTTGGCGTCCGGTGAAAAATGACTCCCCGAGACCGTGAACATGCAATAATAGGCGCTCCACCACAGTCCGACCAGGGCAAGCAGGCGGCTGGTCATGGTGTCGTCCCGCTGTGCTCTCTGGAGTCCCGGCAGTACCTGGATCGGTGTTTCGGTTTCCGGTCCGAAAGTCCACACGAAAAGGATTCAGTCACAAGTGCTGATCAAAAACTAAAACAAAGTCGTGTTTCAAGCCATTTGGAAAACTCACTAAAGCAGAATAAAAGCATCGCTCCTGTTTTCATCCCTGGTTCCTGTCGCGCGCTTTGCTGTCTCGGGATAAAAAAAACACGCACCATAAGAAACTTTATTCTGAGCGCTCCCGTACGTCGGCGGTTCGGACTTTCACTAGCAGCAGCAGAACTCCTCCGACTGGATCCATTCCACTCAAACACATCCACTCTCCAGAACTTCCTAAAGCTGCGCGTGCCTGTCAACAAGTAGCTCCTGCAGGTTGTGTGAGGAGGAATCAACAGGTTGCAGTCCATAATATCCCTAAGTCCGCGTGTGTGTGGCGTGCGTGTGTGTGTGTGTGTGTGTGTGTGTGTGTGTGTGTGTGTGTGTGTGTGTGTGTGTGTGTGTGTGTGTGTGTGTGTGTGTTCAGAAACCGCCCACTCCGTGTGCACGCAGCCAGAGGTGGAGCTCTTTAAATTATCAAGTTTTTGGGTTTGCTTTGCGGAATAAAAACTAAACATCCTTTGGGATTATTTTAAATTATTCCATCTCTTTCACACCTGAAGAGGAATGTTGTGAAATCAGCTCAATCTGGCAGCTGCGTTTTAGTTATTTATTTATTTATTTATAATTCATTTATTCTTAATGGGTTCAAAGATGCGTCTGGTGACGGCTGATGGATTACTTCTGTTTTAGTCCAGTAGAGGCGCGCCCCCTGACGGTGAGACACAGAAACAGCAAAAAGCAGGTAAACTGGGACAAGTTGAATGGAAACCACAGGTGCAGGTGGCAACCTAAATTTGGATATTTCATATGAATATTTTGATCATTAATTAAAAAACAGCAGATGTCACTCACTCACTTTACATGTAGAACAATCTCATGATATATTAATCTCTCACTGTGTTTGACGCACAAAAATAGGGATTTTATCAAGAAATCTGACCATAAATGTCAAAATATTATCATTAACTGCCAATAATAATCTAATCTTTCATTATTTAACTAGATATATGTCAAATGAGTTCATTTATGCCAACATTGGCATCTGAGTTCGGTAAATCTTATTGAAGGAAAATAACTTAACAAGGAAAAATAAACTTTATTAATAATTTCATTAGTAGTTGTTTTTTAAATTATATCTCAACCCTCATTTTAATCAAAGGAATAGAAAAAGAAAAAGTACTTTTTCTCATTGTTTTCCTTTTATTTTTGGTAAAAGACAAAGAGTTAAATTTAACTGAAAGGGGACAGTTGGTGTACTTCTAAAAATCATAAGCCCCATTCCCACCTGTACCGGGTCGGCCCGGGCCGGGTAGCGTAGGTTGTTTACATATCTGGGTGGCCTGGAATCTTCCCGGGCCAACCAAGGCTCATTCTCGGCCCTCTTCCCGAGGGGTACTGCTTCAGGCCGACCAGGGCCAACACACCCACTGCTGACAGCAAATTCACACCTTCCATTAGAGCAAGCCTCTGATTGGTGGGTAGAATCAGCCCACATGGGCTTAAGACAAGGATGTGTGGAATCAACCGGGCCAGGCTGGGTCCGACTGGGGCTACCCGGCCCGGGCCGACCCGGTACTGATGGGAATGGCCCAATATTGACCTGCTTCGAAAATGAAATTTGTTGTGATATATATATATATATATATATATATATATATATATATATATATATATGAGCAGTGTGGTCACAAATCAAAAGTGTAATAGCCCCTCAAATGAAAAGCCGTTACACCCATAGATGTCACTCATACAGATTATTCTATAAGAAGATGGGTGGGGATGCTTTTTTATAATTTCTAACAGAATAACCAGTAAATTGTCAATTTAGAGCAATAAAATTTATAAAACAACGCAGCAGTCGGAACTAATCTCAGTTTCTCCACTAAACATGTTTAACCCTCCCACTGTCCTAATGGGTGTGACCCCGCGAGGAAAGATGACCATTAAGCAGGTTGATGGTTTATCCCTTGGGTCCATGTGGCAGACATGTGGTGAGGAGTGAGCACCACCTCACCCCTGCCACGTGGATGGATGGATGGATGGAAGGATAGATGGACGGATGGAAGGGTGGACAGACGGATGGATGGATTGTTATTCTTTTATGTAACTTATTTATTTGTGCCCTGTGAGAACTTTCACTGCGATGATTTTGGTCGTCATCCTGAAGAGTTTGGAATCTCCGACCTAAAGGGATCTGGAAAATGTCCTAACACATCCAGAACAGGGACCTGAAATCTGATGTGATTTTGTGTTAGTTTGAAATTCATCTTAATGGTAAACATATAAATACTTACCTTTAGTTCATGAATTTATTCTGCATCCTGGTTCTAAACCATAATCCCGGTCTCCTGGTCTAATTACTGAGAGAGAACTCAACGCAAGCCTCATAATTAAAACGGTTAAATTATCTGAAAATAATGACTTGCTGGATAAATCAGCAGGAGTTTGTCCAGCTCAGAGCTCCAGCTCCTGGTCGTTAGCAGATGAAAAACATTAAACTGAGGAGTTTTCACCACTTCAGAGAGAACAGCTCAGTAAAGGTGATGACATCAAAGCAAAACCTCAGTAACCTCTAACGATAACGGAGTTTCTGCCTCGCCAGGTTTGTGTTCCCACCACTCCTCTCCCCCTAACCTGTGTTATGTCTTCCTGGTTGCTTCAGATGATCCTGATGAGAAGAGAAAAAGGTGTCCGTATCTCTGCTGCTGCCAGATCCTGATTTATCTTATCTGCATGTGAAGAGTGAGACGCAGCATCAAAGCTCCGCATACCAACACGCTAACTCGGGCTCTCCCAGACTAAATATCACTTACATGTCTATAATACCAAAATGTTTTATCTACACTATAAATCTCTTTAGATTATTTAGAGATGATAACTTATAGTAAAAGAAAAGACTGACCGGCTCTGAAATAACACAGAGCTGAACTCTTTGTTCTGAGCTGACAAAGAACCTGTGTTCTCTTGAAAGTCATTTATCCGTCTCCTCACCTCCACTTGGAATGCATTTATCATTTATTTGAACGATGGCTCATTCCTGATTTATACAACAGATTTACTCTCAGTCATTCATTGACTGGAAGTGATTTTTGTGAGTGGAAAGGCTTTCATGAAGTCTCTTTGGCTGCAGCGCTAAACAGAAAAACAAAGCCGTGCCTATTTTCTGGATGAAACGATGGAAAGGAAGTGGCTCATTTTTCCCACCTCACAATGAGTGAGTCAGCGTTTGGTAACAAAAAGTAAAGGATCCATGTTAAACACTTCACAGAACATTAATCTTTGACATGTCCAATTAAACCGATGGTTAAAACAGGCTTCCCAGCTGATTCTGTCTCTGAAACAGCTTCACCACGGTCCAGATACTCAGGCTGCACGGATGGGAAGCACTTGAAAATGGCTATATTTATTTGACATTGATCAGTGTGTGTGTGTGTGTGTGTGTGTGTGTGTGTGTGTGTGTGTGTGTGTGTGTGTGTGTGTGTGTGTGTGTGTGTGTTCAGTGAACTGGAAGCTGAGGGAGGAGGAAACGTTAAACAGGAGCTCTGTGTCCTGTCATCACACTGTCTAGACAAGACACCTCCTAAACCTAATGAGGTCTTTTTCTGTCTGTATCTGTATTACACACACACACACACACACACACACACACACACACACACACACACACACACACGCTCTCTCCTCTTGTTTTCTAATCTTCCAGTGAGAAATTTTCATTTATTTGAAATAAATTTAAAAAAAAACACACAAAGAGGAACATATTTTAGATTTTTTTTTCTTATTGTTCAGTAAAGACACACAATAAACCCCACAGGTTAAATTAAAAGGAATTTCCATCCTGAGTCATAGGAATGCCGACACCTGGCACAGATCTGGCAAGTGCTTCATTTAAACAATAATTACACAGCTATTCCTTATTTTAGTGGCACAAATACACACTTATAGCACGGTTTTCTCTCTGACTCAACAGAACATTGACAAGCTCCGACTGATTTGATGCTTTAGATGTCAGACGAGTCCTTTTGAACTTTCTATAAATGAGTTTGGTGCTTGAAGGGGTTCGATTTCTCTCAAAAGATGAATACTTAAAGAAAAGTCTTCCATGACTTTTAATCTAAAGATAATAATCATAATTCATTATTTCAGATGGAAAACGCACCAACACAGTTGTGCTAAATTGCTGCAGCAACATGTACTAAATCACCTGAAGTCATAAAGCTTCTGCAAACTAAGTCCTAGGAGAATTTTCCTCCTCTCCCAGCTCCAGCGGCGAATCGGATCGCCCCGGGAACAGCTTCAGAGTGGATGATGGGAACTCCGTGGTCAAACTCATTCTGCATGGCCTGATGAGAGCCAGAAACATCACACCATTAAAAACACAACTTTAACTAAGAAAAACTAAAATAAACTAGAACAAAACATTTGTCAGGACTGATCTTTTCTACAGGAACAGCTTTGGTGTTACGTAATCAGCAACACATGGACCGGGTCAGTCAGGGAAGAAAGTGGTCAGTAAACAGATACTCGACTTCTGCCGCCTAGCGTCAAGCGTTTGTGTGTGAGCTGATTTAAATACGGCCAACATTTCCAAACATCTGCTAAAGTCATTGTTCAAAAAGCTGCTGCTTACAATTTTTTACAGCCTGTTCTCACAGCTATAAAAGCTGCAGTTTTCACATCATTTAAAAATATTAAGGCATTAAGCAGTTTAAATGTTTGTTATTCAGAGGTGTGACCAAGTAAGTCACAAGTCTTTCCAGTCAAATCTCGAGTCAATTCCAAGTCAAAGACGACAAAGTCCAAGTCGAGTCTAAAGTCAATGATGTGGAAGTCCAAGACAAGTTCAAGTCCTTGACTTTGAATTTTCAAGTCATAATCAAGTCATCTGTCCAACTTCAATTTAATGACAATGATAATGAATACATTCCAGAAATAAAGCTTCTTAAAGCTTCATTTAGTTGCTCAAACGAGCAGAAAGTGCAACTGAAAGTGATTATAAACAAAGTGCTGCTGCAGTTAGCAGAACAAGATCAGACCCAGAACAAAGAATGATTTATGATTTGTGCCCATGTCGTGCCACTTTTGTGCTAAAATATCAAATATGCTCAAGTCATCATCAAGTCAAAAGATGCAAAATGAGTCAAGTCATAAGTCTTTATAGATTTTATCAAGTCAAGTCAGAAGTCATTAAAAAAATGACTTGTCCAAGTCATGTGACACGAGTCCACACCTCTGTTGTTTTTTCACATCAAAGAGTGAAAACATGCTATGTTAGCTTTTTTGAAAGACCGTTGTTTCTTTGAAAATTACAAAAAGAAATGTTTACGGTGGTTGTGTGAATGCAGACTAATGCCGTGGAAACCAAAATATCCCACTGTGATGTTGTTTGATACAAAAGAGCAAACACGAGCTGATAATTCATGGATTAGCTGTAATTTCTTCAGACTGAATCCATATTTAAACGCAGTATTTGATCATTTTAATTGATAATTTACATGCAAACGTTTTGTTTTTCCTTTGTGAGGTGTAATTCAAACTCCAACTGCTAGGTGGCAGCACTGCCATTATTCAGATGGAAAAACGAAATATCGCGATAACTCTGGATGTGTCTTGGAAGCCTCTGACCTGAGTTTCTAATTAAACTCAGTTTTAAAAACAACATCTTCTGACTTTTAGTATCGCTTATCGTATCGATTACACACCCCTATACACCAGCAAGCTAAATAGGTGAAACGTAGACATAAAGCAGAGCTAGATATATTTATCTCTATGATTAACTAAAATGATGATGGTTTTCTTGTCCACAAATTTCAAGATTAACTTATTTGTGCTGAAACAAGCTCCATAAAACATGAACTCCTATGTAAGGAGCCTCTCCTCCCTTTCCCGTCGGCTCATGGGTCCCCGGAAGAACAAAAAAATGAATTCAAGTCAACGAGGCTAAAATAACTATTTTCTAATCCGCTTCGCCTTATCGCCGGATCACATATGTGTTGTACTTCTATTTAAATGAAAAGTAATGATATGTGTTTCGACCACGCCAGTGTTGTACTTTGAGATTTATCAGCTTGTAAAAGTTCATAATTAGCATGACTACAAATCAGAAATCGGCACGTCGCACAGAATCTCCTCTAGCGTAGCTGCTACTTACCACATGGCCAGATTTATGGTGGTTCTTTCCTGCTGAATGAAGGATTTGAAGTTTGCTGACCTTACAGCCATTTTTCCTCGTTTTTTTTCTGCGTCTGATTCGATGACGTCCCGTTGGTGCATGCACATTTGTAGTCCTGAACTTATTTTCACATAAAACCTAAAATAATGTTTCCCCTGTTGGAAAATGAATGCTTTCTTGGTATCAAATTCACGGACATCGTATGTGAAATCCACGACGCATAACAAGCGGGATTAAAAAATAGAGTTTTCGTGCTTCCGGTAACCCATGGTCCCATGGACTTAGACTCCCTATGAACTAAAACAGATGCAGTGCAAACTGAATGATCTGATAAATAGTGAGATATCCAGAGTACCTGTGTGAAAGTCTGAGCATCGTAGCAGCTGTAGACAGCGGAGGAGCGATCTGCCCGCAGACACTGCTGAGGGAAGGCGCTGATCTGCTCGGCTAGCTGCAGAGCCGCCTCTAACGCTGCATTCACAATAAAAACATCAGAAAACACACATCTACATCAGCTTCTTGTTTTTATATTTAGAAAGTCCCAAGAACCTTAATGCTGCTGCTGAAACCCACATGAAAGAAGTGGAGCACATCCAGATGACTGCTATAGGAAACCCTAACCCTCCTGATGGCACACTTTGATGCTCTGGCTGTGTGTACAGAAGCTCTGAGCTCTAAGTGATCATCCTTCAGAGGCAATTAGTGTGTGGATAAACTGTGGGGAGAAGTACTTCCTGAAAGAGTTTAGCTAATCATCTCACAGCATCAGAGGAGAAAGAATCAGAGCTGTAAACGTGAACAAATCCATCCTCAGATTGCAGCTTTTAACAGCAAACTCTGTTAAAGGTGATTTAGTAGATTAGGAAAGAGAATCATGCTGTTTGTTCTGCATGTTTAAGTCTGTTTATTCAAAAATACTTTATTAATCCCAGAGGGAAATTGATTGCTGTAGTAGCTCAGAATAATAATAATAATCTAGTCATCAAAGAGTTGTTGTATATTACAATGGCTGTTGGCAGGAAGGATCTCCAGCAGCGGTCAGTGTTGCAGCGAAACTGAAGAAGCCTCTGACTGAAGACACTCTTCCGTTGTCGGACAGTCTTGTGAAGAGAATGCTCAGGGTTGTCCATCAGTTTCTTGATTCTCTGGAGAATCCTTCTTTGCATTATCTCCTCCAGTGGTTCCACAGTCGTCCCCAGAACAGAACCAGCCTTTTTTATTAGGCTGTTGAGCCTTTTCAGGTCCCTGCTTCTGATGCTGCTACCCCAACAGACCATGGCTGAAGAGATTACACTCTCAACAACAGACTTGTAGAAGATCTGCAGCATCTTGCTACAGACATTGAAGGACCTAAGCATCCTAAAGAAGTGCTAATGTGCTAATGAAACAGGAATAAACTCTCCATCTTCTAGGTTGTGTTTAACTCTGAGGATCTTAAATACCTTGTCCTTCAGGAACAACTCTGTTGGCCAGTCCGAAGGCCAGAGCCTCCTGAGCCCCAATGGGCCGCCCAGTCAGAATCAGGTCCAGTGCTCTGGATAGACCAATGAGACGCGGGAGACGCACCGTCCCTCCGTCTATCAGAGGGACACCTAAAAAAAAACATCAGATTACACAGCGTGCACTAGCACTCAATAACTCATACTTAATTGTATTGCTGTTAAATATAATCCTCCATTATTCAGTCGTCATTCATCTTTGCTGCCTGAGTTTTGGAACTCTTTGTACTTTTGCAATATCTGACCAATAAATCAGAAGACACAAGACTATTTTTGGACTAAAAACTAGACTGTCTTGCAGCCTAATTGAAACACGTCCAACCAAACTTTTCTGCCACATGTGGAGATCCCTAGCCACATATACTCAGAATAATCACCTCTGAACTATTAAAGCTCCGGCATTCTATGAAGGAAGCCATATCGCCCTCTGCCTTCTTATTGACAAATGAAGGAAACGTAATCCTTCTGGTTTCTCATTCGCTAAAAGAGCTTACACGATGTATCACCGATTCAAGTTTGTGTCATGTGTGTCAGGTACAATCGCATCAAATGTTTGCTCAACATCTGGAAATTTGACTGGGTTTTAGCCATTTTTGTGTCACTTTTGTGGCAGCAATCTTGAATGTGATTAGCTCCAAATGCAAATCAGTTTTAAATGCACATCTAATTATTAACTTCAAGGAAATTCAGGAAAATCCATCCCGTTGTTGATGAGATAACACACAGGTGCGGCGGCAGCTAAAGCATGTGATGTCTTCACCATGCGAGGTATAGGCCATTGTGATGCCATTGTGTGCATCGTGCTAACATTCGGAAACGTATTACACACGTGTGTGCAATAGCACAGGTTGTTTCTGTCAGGGAAGCAAAGTTCGGACTCACTGGCTCTGCTTAATTGCGTCTCTGCTTTCTTTACACGAGAACTCTTCCTCCTCGTTCTCATTCGTCCTGGAAAGTTTTTATCAAACATTACAGCCTTGTCCAACAGAGACAAAGCTGCAAGGTACAGTCAGCAGCCTCTGGCACACATCCTAATTTCTAAAGCGCCCCAGCTGCAACTGGCACACTCTCCAAAGTTCAGTTCCACCCCACCAACCCAAATCCCTCATTTTTCCAAGTCACTGATTCTATTTGACTACACTTATTGGGAGCACATGTGTCCAACATGTTTTTATAACCCCACATCATCCTGCTTTTGTCAGATTTCTTTTTTCTCTCTCGTCTTGGAAATGATGTGATTCTATTTATATTTTACAAGCTTGTGTTTTTTTTCCCCCTTTATGTTGTTCAAATGAATTCAACTGGAGAACATGGAATATGTGTGTTGGAACATGTGCATCCAATCCAGGGCTGGGCTTTGTGTTCAAACGGCCATGCGTGTTCCACGCCGGAACATTAGGAGCAAAATGGACCCAACGGAGAGAATTTACAGAGTTTCTCAGCTGATCATTATCAGAGTGTATTAAACCATGTTTAGTGCCCTGAACTATGGAAACTCAACATATATAACAGACATTTCTTGCTTTAAAAATGACCTATACTTGTTATTTCAAAAATGTGCTTTAGTCTCTAGTATAAATTAATGCTTTATGAGTCGTTTTCTGTGGAAAATGCTCAGGCGCTCCTGCTTCAGGAAGTAGAAGCTGGTTTGAGGAGTGGGGGACCAGAAAACAGCAGGATTTGAGTCTTACTCATGAATATTCAGGTGGTGGAGTTGCTAACGGTTAGCTTCTACTAGCTAAGGCGTGCTACTATCTCCTGGATGCTAAATCAAAAAACATCACAACCCCAGATGGCTGAGTCAGTGAAAGCTAATTTACAGTGTGATGTAGATCAGACTGACTTTTTGTGACTCGAGCGTTTCCATTTCTTTTTTTCTTTTGGGTGGTTAACCAGGAAATAGGGCTAGAAGTCATTTTTCACATTTAGCCTGCATATGGAACTCAGTGTGACTGATCTTATTTCAAAAAGAACAAGTATTAAACATTTCTCAGTGAACTTCAGTCAAACGTACACACAGATTTGGCTGTGCTGTGTGTTTTTTATAATGTAACATGGATTTCAGTAATTTCTTCCACACTATTTATCCAAGCAAATCAGCAGCAAACTAATGCAAAAATAAGCTTGTTAGCTAAAACCCAACTAAAAAAGGTTAGATCACTTGATTATACCAAACAGGAAGAGAAAAGGAAGGTCAGAAGCCTGGTTGGAGAACAGTGAAACGCTAGTAGAGGTGAAGTGATGCAGAGGAGGAGAGATAAAGAGGCAGGTCGACCTCCAACCCGTCTGTCTTTGGTGCTGCTGTTGGCACCGCTGCTATCAGCAACCGGAAGGATCTTCCTCCTTATCGAAGCAGCCGTCTCCTGCACCTCCTCCTCTCTCTGATAGTCTCGTCTCTGATGTTCTGTTTGACAGACCTGCGCTTTGTCCCACATGAATAGGAGCGGAGATGTTAAGAGAGCAGCTGCTTGAAGTGGCTTTCAGATCTAAAGGTGTGTTTTGTTTGAAAGAACTCAGCTGAGGTGGAGATGCTTTTCTGGATGAGGAAACACTTACCAGAGATCCAGAAGCATGATAATGAGTCAGCGTGTCATTACTGCCTTAGCAATGATCTACTGTAAAAGTAAAGCCCGTTGGACATGACTCAGTGAAGCCTATTGTTATTTAATCACAAAAACACAGCAGCTCCTTTCCTGTAGCACAAGGTCATCACTGCTTATCTGACTCAAGTGTAGGAGAGCTCTGGAGAAAAGAAGGACCTTTGTGTTTTATCTAGCGTCTCCACGCTCCGATACGTGTTGGTTTGAGATTCTGAATCCCTGTTGAGACAAGTGGGTGATAATGTTTTTGCCTCTATGTGTGTGTCCTCCTGTTATCTAAACATATCATTAACCAGGGGACAAAGTTTAGTTCAAGTCTTAGACTGTAATAATAAGATGTGCATTGTTACTTAATGAAGTGAACCCTGCAGCTAATCAACGTTGGCTCTAGATCAGTTAATTTTACAGATGTTGAGCTTAAATTAGCTGTTGGTGAATGAGGCACAACACAACCTAACCCTAACCCTGCATCATCCCCGAATGATCGCAGTTTAAAGAGACAATGTGCAGTTTTTACCGTTGATCTTTGGATATATCCATCGAAATGTTGATAATTAATTTAATGATGCTCAGTTGTTGAAAAATATTGGGGGTTTTGTAACGTATAAACATAAAAATCAGGGCTAAACTACACGAGAGAGGGTCTAAGTTTCTGAGCGACGCCATATTAGAAGCAATGTTTCCTTCTACGGGAGCCTGTGAGAACAATATGCATTTGTAAGAAAGGATTACAATATTTTCACCATTCATAAATGTTGTTTTACACATTTACCTCTTCACTTGCTGCCAATGACAAAAGGGAGTCTGATGTGCTTATTATTTTGCTGGAGGTTGCGCCCCCAGGGATTTTTGACCCTAATGGCCATCCATTGGTGAGGTCGTACTCAAACACAAAAGTACAGCACACACACCCATCGCCAGAGAAAATACACATTGTCATTTTAAAGCTCAGGTATGAAAGCTTGTAGGAAACACGGACAACAGCCGTGTTCCCACTATAAAAGTTTTGAGAAATTACTGGAAGGGAGAAAAGTCAGTGGGAGATGGGATGGCACGGTCCTCCCCATTGTGGGACTTTAGCCGCCAACGTATCGCCACTGCTTCGGCAGTGGATGGTGTCACTGATCAGCTCCACAAGGTGTCTACAGACATTAATAACATTACATTTTATTCTGTCAAAGTTGCCATAATTTCATTCAGAGGATTGGGGGAGCGGCTATGTGATGTAAAATGTGGTCTTCATTGATCAGAAGAAGCACCGTTTTTTTTGGTGCTCTGAGAGACAACAAAGCCACCTGAATTATGGAGTTGTGATGGAGTTTCTGCCTCAATTATTTGTGTTGAGAGTTTAGAAAAGTTCTTTTTAAAGCAGCGACATTGCTGCTTTTTTTTCCTTCCATCCTGCTTCACCAACAACTCTTCTAAACCTGCAAATGCTGGTTGTTTAGTTACATCTGCTGATGTAATTTCCTACTGAATTACAACCGATCAGCATGAGTTATCGACAAGTCCTGCCCAGCGACTCTACCGAGCCTGTCCTGAGTCCATAACTCGGTGTCTGGCACGATGGTTCCTGAAATGGCCCGGAAAATGGGGAAGTGAAGTGAAGTGAAGTGGAGATGAGCAAAAAAAAAAAAAAAAAAAAAAAAAGAAACTTCATTAATTAAAAAGTGGAGACACACACGTCGCGAAGGTCTACTAAAACTACCAGAGATTTCCAGTAGTGGAAACACACCTAATGTCAAGGACTGGAATTCAACGATACATCAAATTTACTCCAAAAGAAATTTTAATCATTTGATTTGAGCAATAACGTTTCACATCTACCATGTATGTACCCTTCACCTCCGGTTTCTTGTTATTTATCTCCAAATAGCCTTGTGTGTTTCTCCTGAGAGGTTCTGGGGACATCTGGGTTTCTGTGGAGAGGAGATGTGATCCAACGTCTACGAGTAGAGCAGCACCACGGTGAAACGTGACACACTTGGGTATGCTGGTCTGCTCCTGGTCCTGCTGGCATCCTAGCCACATCAAAGCTAAAACCCACCACAATGGCCTCCCATGAGGGTAATGCGATTAAATTTCATGTGGATTAACAGTTTCCGGAAAACTCTGGTCTAAATGGTCAAAGTCAAAAGATCAGACCTTCATCCGGAAGCTGGCTTTGGCACACTCTCTGGGAGTCAATGAAAATAGTTTAGTCAGGCCGGGTCAGAGATGACCGCCTTCCCTCCACTTGATTTCACGTCTTTAGTGAAGCGATTTAATATTTTGGTGATATTTAGTTTCCAGGGAGTTGTTATAAAGGACCACCGTGGCTGAAAATGAGGGTCTGAACTATAAGATGCAGCAGCTCAAACTGTGATCAGATCTTATCAGCACAGAGAAATCAACAATAAGAACCACGTTTTTCTGCATCAATATAGATAATGTGATCTAAAACAGTGTAATCCTTAAAATGTCGCTCAGGTTCAGATTCGCCAAGCAGGTGTT